TAGGTTGTGTATCTGAGACATTTCTTCCTTCTTTAGGAAGGTCTGGATTGCTATATACTTCCCTCTTATGACTGCCTTTGCTGCGTCCCAGAGGTTTTGGCCTGCGGTGTTATTTTCATTGGCTTCCATGTATTTTTTAATTTCCTCTTTAACTTCTTGGTTAACCCATTCATTCTTTAGTAGGATGTTCTTTAATCTCCGAGCATTTGTTGTGTTTACAAATTTTTTGTTGTGGTTGATTTTGAGTTTTATAGCGTTGTGATCTGAAAATATGCACGGTATGATTTTGACCTTTTTGTACTTGTTGAGGGCTGATTTGTGTTCCAGTGGTGATCTGTTCTGGAAAATGTTCCATGTGCACTCGAGAAGAATGCGTATTCTGCTGCTTTAGGATGAAATGTTCTGAATATATCTGTTAAGTCCATCTCATCCAGTGTGTCATTCAAAGCCATTGTTTCTTTGTTGATTTTATGCTTAGATGATCTGTCCATTGCTGTAGGTGGGGTGTTGAAGTCCCTTATGGTATTATTGTCAATGAGTTTCTGTATGTGTGTGATTCATTGATTTATATTTTTAGGGCTTTCCACGTTGGGGCATAAATGTTTACAATTGTTAGATCTTCTTGGTGGATAGACCCCTTAATTATGATATAATGCCTGTGTTCATCTCTTGTTACAGTCTTTATTTTACAACCTAGATTGTCATATAAGTATGGCTACTCTTGTCATTTTTTGGGGCAACCATTAGCATGATAGATGGTTCTCCATCCCCTTAGTTTCAATCTGAATGTGACTTTAGGTCTAAAATGGGGCTCTTGTAAACAGCATATAGATGGATCTTGTTTTCTTATCTGTTCTGTTACCATGTGTCTTTTGATTGGAGCATTTAGTCCACTGACCTTTAGAGTGAGTACCGAAAGATACGAATTTATTGCCATTTTGTTGCCTGTAGAGTTGGGAGTTTCTGGTGATGTTCTCTAGTCCTTTCTAGTCTTTGTTGCTTTTGGTCTTTTTTGTTTTCCTTTGTCTTTTCTCCCCTCAGAGAGTCCCCTGTAAAATTTCTTGCAGGGCTGGTTTAGTGGTCATAAAGTCCTTTAAATTTTGTCTGGGAAACTTTTTGAATGACAGCCTTGCTGGATAAAGAATTCTTGGCTGCATGTTTTTCCAGTTCAGCACGTTGAATATATTCTGCCACTCCTTTCTGGCCTGCCGAGTTTCTGTGGATAGGTCTGCTGTGAACCTGATCTGTCTTCCCTTGTAAGTGAAGGACTCTTTTTCCCTTGCTGCTTTCATGATTCTTTTTTTGCCTGAGTATTTTGTGAATTTGACTATGATATGCCTTATTCATGGTCAGTCTAATGGGAGTTCTCTGTGCTTCCTGGATTTTGATGTCTGTGTCTTTCCCCAGATTAGGAAAGTTTTTGGCTATGATTTGCTGACATAAATCTTCTACCCCTTTTTCTCTCTATTCATCTTCTGAGACTACTATGATTCGGATGTTATTCCTTTTTAATGAGCTACTGAGTTCTCCAGTTCTTACATCATGCTCTTTTGCCTTAGTTTCCCTCTTTTTTTCTGCTTCATCATTCTCCATAATTTAGTCTTCTGTATCATTAATTCACTGCTCTGCTTCATCCATCCTTGATGCTGTGGCAGCCATTTGAGATTGCATCTCATTTCATTTTTAATTTCATCCTGACTAGATTTGACTTCTTTTATCTCCGCAGAAAGGGATTTTATGGTTTTTTCAACTCCACCTAGTATTCTTATTATAGTGACTCTAAATTCTGGTTCAGACATCGTGTTTATATCTGTGGTGATTAAGCCCCTGGCTGTCATTCTTTCTTTTGGGGTGAATTCCTTCTTTTCGTCATTTTGGAGGAAGAAGAAGAAGAAAGTAAAAATTAGGGGCGCCTGGGTGGCTCATTTGGTTGGGTGTCCACTTTGGCTCAGGTCATGATCTCGCGGTTCATGGGTTCGAGCCCCACGTCGGGCTCTATGCTGACAGCTCAGAGCCTGGAGCCTGCTTCAGATTCTGTGTCTCCCTCTCTCTGTTCCTCTCCCGCTCGCGCTCTGTCTCTCTCTCAAAAATAAATAAAGATTAAAAAAATTAAACAAAAAAGTAAAAAGTAAAAAATTAAAAATAGCACAAAAAAACAAATAAAAGAAGCTAGATCCTAGGTATGTTTTGGTGTGCTTGTTGAATGAAGCTTGCTAGAATAGAGAAAATAGGGAAAGAAAATAAAAAGAAAAAAAGTAAGAAAAAGTTTAAAAATTAAAAAAATGTATGTCATAAGATAGAATAAAATGAAATGAAGAAGAAAAAAAATGAAATGAAGAAAGTAAAGTAGAATAAAAAATACAAAAATTTAAAAATATAGTAAAAAAGTAAAAATTATAAAAACAGAAAATAAAAATACATTTTTTCTCTTTCTGTATCCAAGAATAACAAAAGAAAAAGAGAAAATGAGTAGATAGACCAGCAAACAGAATGAAATCTGAATGAAATTACATCCAGTTTCTCCTAGAAGTCAAACTATGAAGCACTTCATAGTCTGTACACAGAGCCGGCCAAGAGACTTGTGATGTTCCTCTAGGACTTGGTTGACACAGCTGGACAGGGTTGGTGTAGTGGCTCCATTCTCCACTAGGTGGCGTTGCTTAGCTTATTGGGGTTGATTGGTGTGGTGTGCATGCGCGTGTGTGTAGGTACGCGAAGGGTGAAAACGGAGTCACCCAGCTTCCCAGTCTGTAGCATCAGAACTCTGTGCTCTCACTGACTGATCATCAGGTACCCCTCCTTTGTCTCTGGCTTCTGTCTGCTCCGGCTTCGACACTGTTGGTGACCAAGCTGTCAGCCTGCCAGGCAGCACCTCTCTCCCAAGTTTTATCTCAGATGTGCCTGTGTTTCCAAAACCCTGAGTTCTAAGGGCCCTGTTGCTTTGGCCTGCTCAGACCCTCTGGGGGAGTGTCTCGCCGAGCAATGGTTGGGAGCTGGCTTGCTCCCGAGAATGCTGATGGCCACCGTGCTGCTGCAGAGGCCTGGAGACTGTGGCTGGGTGTTAGCCCGCCCAGAGAAAGTTCACGCAATCACGTAGCAGCAGCGATTCAGGGATTATGGCAAACTGCAACACACATCTGGTGCCAGGCTTCACCATAAACGTCCCTGTTCCAACACCAGCAAACGTGGCTGTTCTCTGGGGCCCACTGGGACCTTTCCCGGTGGGGAGGCCACACAGCCTCAACCAAGTGTCCTCCCAGCAGGGGAACTGCCTCTCTCCATGTGGCCCGAGGACCCTTGGACCTTGCTGTCTGCTCCCAGGGGATTCATCCTTTCCACCAGAGCACCACTAGCTGCAGAATTTCCTACCCTGCACTCCCCTGCTTATGGAGTGTAATGGTGTTGTGAAACCCTCTCCTTTTTCCTTTTTCCCTTTTTTGTTCAGTCTCTTGGGGCTGTTTCCACTCTTCTCTTTCTCTCCAGCTGCTTTTGAGGGGGGTGCTTTTCCTGTACTCTCCCCCCCATCTCTGTCCTCTCTCCACAAAAACAGCTCTCTACCCTCAGAAGCTTCTCTCTCCCCCAGTTCACCAATCCATGCCGCGTACCTGCCGAGTTCTGTGGCTGAAGTTATGCAGATTGTTGTGTTAATCCTCAGATCAGTTTTCTAGGTGTGCAAGATGGTTTGGTGCTGATCTAGCTGCATTTCAGGGATGAGAGAAGCAGAGAACTTCCGTGCTCCTCTGCCGTCTGCTAAACTGATTTTTAACTAAAGAAGTCATATGTCATGATGGCCTTAAGAAAGGTTTCAGGAGGGGGCACCTGGGTGGCTCAGTCGGTTAAGCGTCCGACTCTTGCTCTCAGTTTCATGAGTTTGAGCCCCATGTCTGCCTCTGTGCTGACAGCTGGAAGCCTACTTGGGATTCTCTTTTCCTCTCTCTTTCTCTGCCCCTCCCCCACTCACCGTCTCTGTCTCAAAATAAATAACATTAAAAAAAAAAAGAAAAAAAGAAAGGTTTCAGGAACATGGAAGTGCATTGGTTACCATGGGGGTGATGGGCTTGGTCCTTCTACGTGTCGTAGGCTTTTTGCACATCCTCACAGAACACAGCTTTTAAGTTTTTCTATCTTTCCAATTCTTCTTAGTTGTTTTCTCCAGTTAATGTTCACATCTGTGTGGTTTTTTTACTTTTTTAGTTTATTAAGATAATTTTGTGGTAAATTAATTTATGAACAATTTACAGATATTTATTGTTGTGTGTTCCTTTGTGTCTGTGTATTGAAGTTTGATGTTCTGTGTGAGATGGTTTTTATCGCAACTGGGTGATTTTTTTTTTTGTTCAGAGCGACTGTTGAACCATTGGTCACTTAAGCTTGTTTTTAATTACAAAAGCAATACATGTTCATGGTGGGGGTTCAGAGGCATGTGAGGGACTAAAGCAGAGGAGATGGTTCTGGTTACCTGCTCTTCCTATGCCCACAGGGCACTGTGGGTGCATGTTTGCAGTGTGTGTGTGTGTGTGTGTGTGTGTGTGTGTTGTGTGTGTGTGTGTGTGTGTTTGCGCGCTTGCACACTTATAGATTGGGATCATGACGCATATATGGTTTTATGTCCTGGTATTTCTTTTTTTATGTTTATTTGTTTATTTTGAGGGGTGGCGCAGGGAGAGAGAATCCCAAGCAGGCCCCATGCTGTCAGTGAGGAGCCCAATGCGGAGCTCGATCCCATGACCCTGGGATCATGACCTGAGCCGATTCAAGAGTTGGACGCTTAACTAACTGAGCCCCCAGGCACCCCTGTCCTGATATTTCTGTTAGTGGTTATCGTTGAGCATCCTTTCCATATCTTACTAGTCTTTGATAAGGTGACTCTTAATGAGTTCTGTGTTTGATCCCATAGATGTATGAGTGCTTTCCCAATAGTGTGCTTATTTTCCAGTGTTTTCACTGTTCTGAATGGCAGGAGCACTTCGAGACCTCATATCTCCATGTGTTTTTCTTAGGTGGCTGAGCTGTACGGAGAATTGAAGAACCGCGTCTCTCAGTTCAACATGTACGTTGATTCGCGGCGGCCTGTCATGGACCAAGAATATGTTTATAAGCAGCGCTTCATCCTGCAGGTATGCTGGGGTTTCCTGGATATCTGTCCTGATTCTTTCTTCTTGCCAGGTGTTGTGGTTGAGAGCGCACGCACTCTGTCTTCCTGATATAAATCATGTCTCAGCACAGATTTTAGGTCCGTGATGTTCATCCTGCTTTGGGGGTTAGGAAACATTCTTACCTTGCATAGCGTAGGGTTTCCACATCATCAGGCTGGTCATCCAGATCCATTGCTAATCTCCAGAGGCATGTTTCTATAGCACGCCAGCCATTGTTCCTGTTTCAGGAGGGGTCCTTGGTTTTTTGCTTTCAAGAAACGAAAAATGTTCTTCGTGTTATTCAACATATATAGCTATTCCCTTATACTGAAGATACTAATTTTGGAGGCCGTGATCAAGTTAGCTTGTTGGATGGGACCTTACGGGGATCGTGTGGAAGGAAGCACAGCCTAGAAAAGTGGCTGCTGTTTCCACTTTGGGGTCAGGAGGAGGAGGACGTCTGTGTGCATCAAGCGCGTCGAATTGGGTTGACGGAAGATGTCTGCAAACAGAATGATGCCAGAAGACGGTGTTTTTCTGGGTTTCAGATTGCTTTAAGGAGGGAGAGTCTTCTGTGAGTGTTTGTTTCGAATGATATTTTGATTGAAGAAGGGACTCTGCAGAGTGCTTTTTAGAAGTGCGTATTGGGGCGCCTGGGTGGCTCAGTTGGTTAAGTGACTGACTTCGGCTCAGGTCATGATCTCACAGTTTGTGGGTTTGAGCCCTGCGTCGGGCTCTGTGCTGACAGCTGGGAGCCTGGAGCCTGCTTCGGATTCTGCGTCTCCCCCTCTCTCTACCCCTCCGCTGCTCATGCCCTGTGTCTCTCTGTCTCTCAATAATAAATAAATGTTAAAAAAAATTAAAAAAAAACAGAAGTGCACACTGGATGTGTTTCTTGGAGTGTGGAGCGGGGCCCTTCCTATAGAGGGGAGTTTGCTGGGGAGCAGGTAGGAAAGTGTGCAGAGCCATTCGTGCCCTCACTCGCACTCGGCACTGTTTCCTAGCCCTCCTTCTGAGATGGGCTCCATGTCCTTTGAAGAAAGACTGTGTCTGGACTGCTGCTCTTTTTCCGGTAAAATAAGCAGAATTGGGACTTTCGGCTCAGTTGGTAGAAGGTCTAGTTTTTTTTAATGTAAGCTCATTTTTTACCTTACAGCTGTTAACATCGTTCTGGGAAGAGATTTGTGTGTTGGTGAGACAGACTGATAAATAATGTTACTTCATGAAAGTACAATTCTCTTCCAGGTTGTATTGGCGGGTGCTTTTTACCCAAATTACTTTACTTTCGGACAGCCTGACGAGGAGATGGCGGTGAGGGAGCTGGCCGGCAAAGACCCGAAGACCACCGTCGTGGTAGGTGCTCCGTTTCAGTGTGGCCGCTACAGAACGTTGTGTTTCTCCAGGTGTTTCCATTGTTACAAGTACCTGGTGGATTTTTACCTCTCACGTGGATATCAACAGCTTGTTTGACCTTTTCACACACATCTACTTGCCCTCAGTCTTGCTTCCTTTTTTGCAGACCTGGCCTGGAAAAATAGCCTTGAGAAGTTACATATTTATGGCTAACTGATAATGTGCCCTTTTGAAGGATTTAAAACCCTTCTCCATAAGGTTAAGAATATTTAGTTAACAATTTCATTTTACACAAAGTGAAATGTTATTGGTTGTCAGATTAGGACTGTGATTTAAACTGATCCACAGACCTGAATGCCCAGTAGAATCACCTAGAGAGTGTTTGTTTATTTTTAAATATTTCAGGGCTCGGGGCGCCTGGGTGGCGCAGTCGGTTAAGCGTCTGACTTCAGCCAGGTCACGATCTCGCGGTCCGTGAGTTCGAGCCCCGCGTCAGGCTCTGGGCGGATGGCTCAGAGCCTGGAGCCTGTTTCCGATTCTGTGTCTCCCTCTCTCTCTGCCCCTCCCCCGTTCATGCTCTGTCTCTCTCTGTCCCCCAAAAAATAAATAAACGTTAAAAAAAAAAATTAAAAAAAAAAATTTCAGGGCTCCATGCCACAAAATCTGAACTAGAAGGAAAGGTCTGGAAATTAACATTTAAATAATATGTGTTTTCGGTGAATCTGATGCTCAGCCATTGGCATGGACCATTGGATGAACATTTGTGGACCGTTTGGTTAAACCTGAGCACGTGGAAATGTCAGGATGCACAGCTGGAATAAAGTACTTGGGAACTGGACTTTCACTGCACCACTCGGTTCTATTATCAGTTTATACCTGACGGGGGTGTAAAGCCCTCGGTAAAGTGGCTGGCCTACAGTAAGCGCTCGAGCATGCCAGCTTTTTCCTGTTGGTAACGTCGCCACGATCACTGAAGGGAGCAGGTGCACGGGGAGGGTCACAGGCGACTGAGTGTTGTGGAGATCTGGGACGAGCCTGAACGTTGCTGGTGCTCAGGCTGGGGGCAGGCAGCTGAAGGGAATTTTAATGTAAAAAGTGGTCATTAGTCTCTGACCGCTGCTGGGGACTCTGCCCCTGTGGGTCTTCAGGCCGGACAAGGGTCTTTTGTTTGGCTTCCTTGACTCGAGATGTGGTCTTCTCCCCTGCCCTGTGCACGGCGAAAAGGATCCCGCGGGGTCCTTGTCAGGTTCCAGCTGTGCTTGCCACGAGTGGGGTTTGGGGCCAGACCTTTGCCCTCCATGCGCATTAGGAAGACCAGACGATAGCTCGATAGCTCGCGTTGACTCAGCCCCTACCTGAGAGGCCCTTTGTTATGCATTTTGTATTCTGCTTCCCTGAGCCTTGCACTGACCCCTCGATGTGGGGACTTACCCTCATCCTTACTTCTTGTGGTGGGTGAGTCCTGGGGCGATTCCATACCTTGCCACTGGACGCTTGACCCGGCAGCTCAGAACCGGGGCTTCTCGCCCCCCCGCCCGCACCTCTCGCGGCCTCTCCTGGGGCCTGGGACCGCTGGTGCAGGGGCCCCAGCTTTCCTGCCCAGCCAGAGCCTGGAACGCTGATCACCCAGACGGAGGGGAGAAAGCAAGCAGTCGGGGCCGGGAGGGGTTTGCAGCTCAGTGTGCTTGACTTGTGGCCACGGTGTGTGGTGCCCCTCGGGCCCGTGGGGCAGAGCTCCTGCTGGTTCCCTTCGTGTACGTAGGAGGGGTTGTGCCAAGAGACGTGTTTAGTCAGCTTGCTTAAAGTAAAATAAAAAAACAGCTTTTTTTTTTCCTGTTGGACTTTTGTATTATTTTGGCAGAGAAAGAGTTAGCTTTTATTTAGCATGTATTTATTGTTGAAGCTTAGTTACGATGTAAAAGTCATTAGTCATTAGGTACACCTGTCCGTAGAGTCTACATCTTATGGTTAAAGACAGTAAACTATGTTTTTGTGAACTAAAATAATGTGTAGTGGCTTTAGCTTGTGAACAGTTATGAACATCATAACTGTTTCCTTAGCTTCTACGTCTGCTCTGATGCTAAAATACTAATACTAAATACTAATCCTGCTTTATGTGTTACAGTTGAAGCACATTCCTCCCTATGGATTTCTCTACCATAAACAACTACAGTCTCTCTTTAGACAGTGTGGTCAAGTCAAATCCGTTGTATTTGATGGTACAAAGTAAGTATATTTTTGCAATCAACTGTAGTTATGAAAGCGCCGTAACGTTTTTCATGTTTGCGGGAACGAATCCTTAAAACTGAGTACGTAGAAATGGGTCTCTGTTCGGGCTGTTCCACGTGGCCGTGGAATGTGGCTTTGGTCTGTCTTGTTATCAGTCGCGATTTCTCTTCTGTTTCAACCGCGTGGCCTCCTAGAGCAGCTAAGCCGTGAGCCTGTGGGTCTGCTACTGACAAGGCCCGGTGACGCCCTGCGGTGCCGGGACGGTGCTCGGGGAGTCGCCTGCCCCTAGGTGGTCACGGTGCATCACTAGTGATAGGTTACTTTGTAGGCCGTGGAGACACCCCAGGATAGGGCCTCCCTGCTTGTAGTTACTCAACACACGTGTGTTCTAATTATTTTTGGCAGACAAGTACTGCGGACGCTGAGTACGTTTCACCTTATCTGAATTGCAGGTATAAGGGCCAGAATGGCACGGCTCAGAGTGTCCCTTTGAGTTTTTATTTCTAGGAGGTAATGTTTGTGTGAAGAAAAGACTGTGGTTTTAAATTGATTTTTAGTTCTAACATTGGAGATTTTTTCTGGTGGTCTATAAATTGTTTTTATTAAGCTGATGTCAGTTTGGGTTAGTTTTTCAGACATTGTAAGTTCTGTTCCTGTGATTAATACATCGATTTTCATAACCTGACACGGTCTCAATGCTGTCCACAGTGGTTACAGATTGAACTAGCTTAGCTTATAGTATCTCAAGTCTTCTTAAATATTCAAACACAAATTACACTGAAATTGTTTGTTGGGGGGGGGGCACGAGTGAGCAAGGGGCAGAGGGAAAGAAGCAGGGCTCACCTAAAATGAGGCTCGAGCTCACCCGACGTGGGGCTCGAACCCACGAACCATGAGATGTGAGCTGAGCCCATGTCAGGTATTTAACGCCTGAGCCACCCAGGGGCCCCTCAGATTACGCTGAGATTCTTCATCAGGTTTACAAATCACTTATTTAAAACTGGAGCCACATGGCGAAGCTCTCTGTCCTGACTCCCCAGGCGTCGTTGGACCTTGTTGGTAGCGGACCACCAGGCTCACAGCTTAGCCCCTTTAGGAGGTCACTCGGTTGAAAGAGAAGAGAAATCGCGTTTGCCTTGGCTCTGGCTCCAGTTGTGCGTGGGTGATCTTTGCCGGGTTTGAGTGGCCGGCAGCCAACAAGTCTGATCTTGTCACTGGGTTGGAGTCTGTGTCTGTTTCATATTCTTCCTGTCTGAGCCTTTTTTTTTTTTTTAATAGGTATTTTAATCCTATTTTACATGATTCCTTGTTTCTGGCTTTTTAGCCACAATAGCAATGTCATGTCAGTTATTGGAGGTGTAACTGTGCTCTTCTGGTTGTACCAGGAGCCGTCCTTGTGCATCGAGTGTGTAAGGACAAAGGATGACCCAAATCACTATTTGAGGGAGTAGAGGCTGTGTTCCTTATGGGGTCACGCAGGGCTTTCTTGAGCGAGGAAGTGGTGTCAGGCGTGAAGGGCCTTCGGGCACAGGTGGTAAGTTCACAGGCACAGCGTCTCTTCCCACGTGGAGCTTCCAGCCTGGCGGTGGGGTGTCAGCTTAGTTGTGGGGTTCCACAGACATTTGTCCGTCTCGGACTGTCATCAGGGAGGCCCAGTCATGTTCACTTGGGACGTTCCGAGGAGCTGTTTGAGGTGGGCGGGGGAGGTGGCTGCTGGGGCAGGAAGAGGCGCTGCTCCCGTAGGGGCCCAGCGCAAGCCCAGCTGGGTCTCTGGAGAGAGTGGGGTGCGCGCGAGGCCGGGGCGGAGGCCGGGTGGCCTGCAGCTGGTGTTGTGTCAGATCTGTGTGTGTCGTGGAGGTCGGGTGTTCTATGCCGGATGGTAACTTTGTGGCCACCTGGCCAGGATGAGGACGGATAGACGGGTGTGTGGAGACCCCCGGGTGTCGGAGCTGCGCCGTTGTGTAGGACGTGATCAGAGGACGGAGAAGAGGGTGAGCCTTGGCAGTCGTGGAAAGCAAGGTAACCCTTGACACCAAGGAGGCCACAGGTGAGACACAAGATCTCTTGGGCTTGGTTGTTGGTCGTGTGTACAGGACAAAGGGGATGGGGGTCCACGAGGGCAGGTCTTCCAGACTTCCAGACAGCATTGAGTGGGAGGGGGCCGTGAGGAGCGGCCCCCCGGCAGGAGGGGCACTGGCGGGGGTCCCGTGGGCGGGAGTTCAGAATCTGCTGTAAGATGGGCATTCTGGAAGTGTGGCCTCAGTGTGAAAGAAGCTTTCTGAGGAGAAACTCAGGAGCCGGCTAGAGAAGGCGACAGAACAGGAGGGGAGCGAGTTGGGCACAGGCCAGTGCGCGTGCTCAGCGGGGAGTCCACCGGGAGGCGGGGGAGGAGGGTGGTGGGGGGGGTGCAGGAGGGCGGAGGACAGCCGGTGCTCCC